TAATTATAAACACATGTATAAACGTTTAGTCAGAGAGTTTGAATCTGTCTCTCCTGACCAAAAAAGATACTGGTTTTATAGTAAATATAGTCAATACCATTCTATAACTTCATTAGATGTTTGGACAGATATTCCGTTTCTGCAGGGATTTATCAGATGGCTTAGTGGTCAGAATGATGACAAAAACTTGTGCCATGAGATAAAGCTTGCCTTGTTGAATGGAGCATGTTCTTCTGGTTCAGAAGAATGTGCTTTATTCCTCCTATCGAAGGGTGTGACACCTGACGAGGAGACACCGTTTTATGTGGTAGAGCGAGGGAGCGTGAGTGTGTCACGTAAACTACTGGAGTATGACGTGACTCAGACAGCGAGGTTATACATGACACGATCACCACATTATATAGGCCTAGATAGTAATATCACTGTCCTACATGAGGCGTGTTTGTTTGAGAGAGAAGAGATGGTGACCATGTTGTGTAACACTTACCCACACTTGGTACACGACACTGATGACTGGGGACACAGCACGCTCCATTTTGTGGCACGGACAGGAAACTGTGATATATTTAAAACAGCGGAGAGAGTTGTACTTGAATCCTTGTATAGAGTTGAGGACGAACAACATAAATGTGAGACAGTAGAAGGTCGTGTGGTTCACAGGAATTGTGTGTGTGCTCCGTACGTGTGTCAGTTAGTGACTAAGCACACGGGGCAAACAGTGTTACATTATAGTTGTAGGAGGGGACACATGGAGGTTTGTAAATATCTGTGCGAGTCGTACCCAGCACTAACTGAAGCTGTAGATAAGTACGGTAAAACAGCGTTACATTATAGTTGTGGGTTTGGACACATGGAGGTTTGTAAATATCTGTGTGAGTCGTACCCAGCACTAACTACAGCTGTAGATAAGTACGGTAATACAGTGTTACATTCTAGTTGTGAGGAGGGACACATGGAGGTTTTTAAATATCTGTGTGAGTCGTACCCAGCACTAACTACAGCTGTAGA